GCATCAGTTTGCAGTAAAATATTTCTGACACATTAAATTCCCTCATTGATATTTTGTAAATCCACAAACTGGATATGATGTTAGGTTTTTTTCCCTAATTCTGAAATTGATTGAGTGACTGGCTGTATGGGTCTGTATCATTTTTTGCTAATTGTTAAGGGTCTATAAGATATCTAGAAATGATTTTTTTTTTAATTAATCTATATTTGAGTGGTATTGCATCATCTGCGCTAGTACAGCTAAGGTCACAGATTAATGATAAAGGCCTGTTGAACTTCTTGTTTCAAGTTGTAATGGTAAGTGACTCTTTGTATATTCCTTTGGTAGAGGTTATTTTACACAGGGATTATATTCCAGAACTGTCTATTTACCTGTGCTCCCCATGGCAACAGTCAAAACAATATAATTCACAGGTACATTAGATAAAAAAAATATGAACACCTGAATATACATGCAGAGATACATAGTTGGTGAAAGGAATTTGTCTGCACGCTGTAGCCCACAATCACATGCAACTTTAATTCACCTTCACACCATGCTTTTCATGAAAATCCAATGCACACATAAGTAAATGGTATATATTCCAAAAGAAAATTGAGAAAAAAAAGATGATGGATGGATAACACTTAAATTCATATTGATGTTTTCTATACATCATTGAAGGAGTGAAATCAAAATTAGTTTCCAATAAACACTTCTCTTTTTTTTGCCATTTCATTGAATCATGTCTTTAGACTTGTATTCTAGAAATTCATTCATGGTGCTTGCTGTTATTCAAACAACATTTTAGTAAAGAACAATATTATTTAAATAATTTTTTAATTTTTGTCCCTGTTAAGTACTGAATGCCTTTGGCGTGATCAACTTTTCAATACCATGGAGCTATATTTGAACAAAAGCTAGATTTACGTAATCTTTTGTCCCTAAAGAGGGTCAAGTTAAAAGAATGTACAAACTGGTTATACCAATATAAGGAGCACATGATTATATTGTGAACAAAACAGTAATAATGGTGGTAGGGTGGAACTCTTCAAAAGGGCTCAATATCATTAAGTGTTTCTTTTATATTAAATCAAACTTATTTGCAGCTAGTACATGTAATAGAACAGTTAGAGTATTTTTCTTGAAAGATACTTTATAATTTTCGCAGTGTGGATGGGAAGATCCCAAAGTATTTGTGATGCCAGCAAAATGTTTGTATTATTTCTAAAAACACTATTGACTTTATATAGGTTTGTTTGGATTTTTTTTGTGATTTTCTATCAGGTTTTTTGATTGGTAAATTTTACTGGACAAATCATTTTCTCTGTTTTCAGTGGTTGATGTGTTATTTTTCACTAAATGTGGTGAAAAATAACTCATTTTACCCAATTAGAATTTCACTTGTGAAAATGTAATGAATTGTTTTAATAAACTGAAATACTTAGTTTTAAAACACATTAGAAAAAGTTCAGACTTGTTGATGAGCTTTTAATTCATTATATATCAGTATGAAAATGATATGGAAATTAAAATGCAGTTTTTTAAGTAAGACAGATTGCAAAATCCTGACAAAGTATTTTAGGAATCTATTGATTGTAATCAAACATCCTTTTGATGAGATTGTCCTTATCTCTCTCAGGAAGGAAAGACTGATTATAGAGTGCCCTATTGATCACAAAGGATTTTATGGACAATAACTTGAAAGCTTGACATCGTCAGTTTTTATCAAAGCTTACTCAGTTAAGTGCTCCAGACTTTACTGTGTAGTCTAGTCATTTTACTATAAAAAATAACTATTACCCCAAACTACTTGCAACAGAATTAATCTGTTTATTATCATTCTTTTTTATTTGTAAGGCATGGTAGTTATCAGTATTATAACAGGAAAAATAGTCCCCTGAAATGATATTGACTTTCCATTTGTTGAAGAAAATCACATATCTAACCACTTGTGGAGTGTGATATCTACAACCTCTTTTACACTTCTATTTATTGAAGAAAATCACATATTTAACCACTTGAGGAGTGTGATATCTACAACCTCTTTTACAATACCGGATATATGAAATTAACTTTACTGAAAGTGAAACATAGTAGTCATTTACCAAACAGAAGTATTGCATTGAAAAAATATTTCACTATCAAAATTGTTTAAGAAGTTTTGAACTCTGGCCTGATCAGTAAAACAAATGGCTGACAGACAAGCATCTTTGATGTGACAGTTAAAGATTATTATCTCATTAATTTTCAAATTTCATATAGTTAAGTACAAAAACAGAAGAAAGATGAAAAAAGAAGGAGAAATATCCAATATTTATAAAAACAGGACCAAGGGATGATGGGCACAAAGTTCAAGGCTCTCTGGTCAAATACATACATTGACTCATGGTAAATGATATATTCTCATTCGAAACCATCTTACCTGGCCATTTGAGTTGATTTAATGTTATCTTATGCCCAAATCAAATAATATACCTTGATACTCATTTCTGAAACATGTAATTTGAAAAAGGACAAGCAAATGTGTGGCACATACTTGAAATACTAATTTACAAAGTTCTAAAGGTAAGGCACCTTTGCTACAACAACGAAAATATGGCCATGAAAGTATGTGATTTTTTAATGATATCTTGCAAATAATTAGTCCATTTCTTCATGTGATTTTGATGGTAAAGCAGTAATAATATGGATATTTTTATGAAATAGATTTTTAAGTCAAACACACCAATAACATTTTATTGAAAGTAACGTATCTCCCATTCTGTAGTATTGAGTGAAATGATCATTTTTTTTTTTTTTTTTTTTTTGTTCAAATGAAAGATATCAATTGAATCTTCATTTCCCTCAATCAAGAGGACCAGGTTATGGTTGTAAGATTTAGCTTATTGGATAAAACACAAAAAAAGTATTCATATTCTGCTCTTGCACTTCTTCACAATCTTGAACTTTGCCATTTTTAACCGTCAAAGTTACATGAGGTGCAGATCTGATCAACTATACTTCACTCATTATTTGCAGATATCTTAATTAAGATGGCTTTTTCAGCTAAGGATATCTTGCATAAAAAATTATTTAATACACTTTTCAGCATTTTCTGAAGATGTTGCTAAAATCTTAATGTGTTAAATAAAATACCCATCAATCTGGAAAACAACTTACAATCAGCCCCACCATCAAACTTTGAAGTTTCATAAATCATAATTATACTTGGTATCAATATTAATGTTGATAAATTCAAGACTTACAAAATGCCACAAAAGCCAATATGTTCAACATTATGATGTTTCTTAGCAATATGGTGATAATTTTTTAGTGTCAGTGTTCCTATTGAGTTTTGGTTAATCTGTATTTTATTATGTTAAGTCTTGCCAATGTAGTTTTTAAAAAAATCTCCTTTTCAGAGTTACACAAGAGATTAGTATCAGACTACAAAGTTGATCCAGTTAGAAATAATCTTTATTTTCTTGACCTTATTTGCAGCAAAAGGAAAGATTTTTGGAGATAAAAAAGCATTCTGTATGAAAACCTAAAAAATAAACTCTTTTGGAATATTAGTTTAAGATGAAACTATGGAATGAATGGACTAGTGCTGGCTCAGGTATGCAATTCATTAATTATCAGTAAATCCAGTATTTCAAAACCTCAACCTTTAAAAGACTTGATTTACGTCTTCTTTCCTTTCAGTATTAAAGAAGAGAAAGGCATCTCCTAGAAATATTTCTACCCATCACTTAGGATTAAACATATTTTCTCGGCTAAATAATAGAGTTATGACACAGAGTTAAGTTGTTATGGCTAGAGTGCTGGTTCAAGGATGACATCCCACATAAAACAGATGCTTAAATGTTTATTATGGAAATAAAAAGACAAGTTACAAACTAACACTGACTGACAAAGTGTGCCAGTAGTAATGTATACAGTAGGAGTTTGACAAGATTAACTTCCTCTCTTCGATCCAATTTCAAAACATTGTGTTTGGATGTATTTTGTATTCTTTTTCTCATTTGGACATTGAGTTTAAAAAAAGGTGGCAAATCGAACTTTTCCTTTAAGTTTTTAGTTTTTCCTTAAAGATCACTTTCATATATATATATGAGTTAGCACAATACGCAGATATCTATGGTAATATTTAAGTTCTTAAATAGGATTCTTTTAAGTTTTCTTGCATTTTGCAGATGTGGAACTCTCTTTGAATTAGCTAGGCCATATGGTATTTCCAAAGTGGTGAGAGATCAAATTGAAGGCATGGAGAAGTACCAAATAATTATATGTCTTCTGTCTTCTGATTGTAAAATGTTAGAACTATTGTCATGGATATTTTGCTGTCAAGTGATACTCCACTAGTTTTACAGACATTTCAATTCTTGTGATTGTCTTTTCTTTTCTGGCTTGCAATATAAGATTACATGTTTGTACAGATCATCGAGCCATGCCAGATTAAATATCATGATATCATTAAACAGGTTGTTTCAAGCACGTGATACAGTATCTATATTCTTCAAGCATTTTAAGCTTAATGATACATATGATACAATTTTGATTTATATTTTTCAATAATATAATGAAATCACGAAAAACAAAAAAATCTGAACTCTTTGCTTTTGAATTATCACCATTTACATAAAACACTACTTTTGTAGATATCTTGAAAATATAAAAACAGAATGATACCTGAATGTGTTTCAAAGCTAACATGAAAATAGAAACAACCTGAGCTCCTGATTAGAATTATTTGGACTAATTTGTCTATTGTTATTTTGAAAATTGTACTTAGAATAGATAACAGCAATGTAAATACTGGTTTAATCCTTTAGTACAAATATAAACTACAGGTATACATTTTGAATTTTTATTAATTACAGGTGGAAAACTGCAAACAAGATGAACCACAAAATGAGAAAAGTTGGCATTGAAACTGCACTATGTGAATTTCATTTATAATTTTGTCCTGTGGCAGTTGATGAACTAGTGAAGAGAACAATGGACTAAACTTTTTAGGATCTGAAATTCACATAACAATGAAGGAGGTGTCGGATCTTCCCAATGGAGAAGGGAGGATGCTTCGGGATTCTTCGGTCAGTGAACCTACTGAAGATAAACACGAACGGATGACACCATTTCAAAAGCTATCTTTAGATCTCAGTAATGATCAAAAGTGCTTGAAGGAAATAACTTTAGGTAAAAGAATTGGATTTTACAGAATTCGTGGGGAGCTAGGAAGTGGCAACTTCTCTCAAGTGAAAATGGGTATACACGCCCTAACAAAAGGTAAGGTTTTATTTTTGTTGTTTTTCTTCAAATCTTTTTTTTTTTTTTTTCACTGAAGGTATATTTTGTTTTAGTCTTTGGCACCTAGTTGCTCATTCAGGCATGCTTATCTTAGATACTGAAAATGTAGTTGAATTTGTTGAAAATTCACTCAGAAAGATAACATGATTGTATCTTATCCTTAAAAATTGGTCCTGGTATATTATGTAAATTAACTAGATTGCTGTACATGTAGTTGATATAACGATAGAACAAGATAATAAGATGAAAGTAGCTCTACAGACCTACATGTATGTACTCAAGCAATATGTTACCAGCCAGGCTTTAAGGTAATGAAATTTATCTGCCTTTTCAAATGGCATGGTACCTTTTAATGTTCAGCTTGTTCATGCTTGCTCCCACCATCATCTACCAAAGGGTATTTACAATTTAAGTGGATATCCCAACAAATGCTGTGAATTCTGCCAGCAATAAGCCCATTCTCTTGCTTTGAGTCCTGTGTTGGTCGAGACTAAAGCTGACTGCAGGATAAGAATAGTAACCATACAACTGTATTATACATTGCAATAGCAATGTAACTCAAAAGAGGCCTCATTAGACAAGTTTTACTACTTTCAAGATAGGTTTGAGTGATGGAAACTGATTCTTGAAGTGAATGGGACTGTACATTGAAGACTAGCAAGGCAAGTTTGTGTTGTGTACCATACAATCTCTGACGGAAAGAATTGTTGTTACTGTGGTGTTTAATGGTAAACCTTTTCAATAAGTTACACTATTGAATAATTAATGAGTACATTGTCCTGGATCAGAAGCTTACAGACAAAATTACTTCTGTTAGTACAGCCTCCCTTTGGGATTTGTTTCTTGATCAGCAGGCCAAGTGAAATAATATCTCTGTTTTGTATTTACAATCATCTTAACAAGCCAAATAAAAATACTCTTTTACCTTGTATATCTTTGACCTAATACCTCAATTACATTAAATATGCACGCTAATTGATATACTGCATAGACCTAGAAAGGAGATGTTTTTTTACACCTGCGGCCTTTTAGGAGCTGTCAAAATCTCTAATTACAATGCTGAAAGTTTATTGATAGGGGCTTTGGTAGGGTGATACCAACACAGCACCTAACACATTTTAGCACTTATATAATGAATTATGCCACTGCTGTTACCTTAGTTACTTTGTCATTAATTCTGCAAGTACTTTATTTTTTTTATTTCCCCTGGAAAAATTATTTGAAACATTCTTTGGTATTAATGATTCCTTGCTATTAAAAGGGGCACATTAAGTTTTATGAATAGAGGTTACATAATAAGTAGTTGTTGTATGGTATTTATTCCACTCTTATGAGTCATTTAACTAAAAGTCATGTTTTTAATAACTTTAGAAAAATAATTAATGAAAATAGAATATATACCATATACAGCAACCATGAGTTTTTGGGACCTTTTCTTATCAAAATAAAAGAAGTATTCAGACAGTTCAGATATATATACATAATTAGAGCTTTATTTATGATATGACCTAAAGTGAAATACTGCTAATTAATTTGCAAAACTGACAAATCCAGAAATACATGAAAATATTAACAAATCAAGCGAAGTTAATGACTATTTTGTTTTATTGTATTTCAAAGCAATAAAATCAATAATGTTTAATGTAAATCTAATCCAGCTTACTGCGCATTTTAATTTCTGCAAGTGCATGAAGCACCCTTCAAAGCCAACCAAAACAGGTTAAGAGTTTATTCCTTGTGTGGTATGTTTGTTGAATATGTACATCAGTTGTAATGATTAATTGATGCCGTAGGAGCTGAATGAGACCAGTGTGGTGAAATAATGGTTGTCATGTAAGGCAAAGCATCATACTGGAAAGGAAACAATCTGACAATTATATATTTTGACATGACTGCTAACTTAGATTGTGTCATGAAGTTTCTAAATTTATCAGCATTGATTCAGACACACAGAGTTGCAGCAATTACACATTTATATTTAAGTACTTGTGTGAATTTTAGTCAACTGTACTGTATGAATATAAGGGTGAAGAAAATTGATCATCAGGAAATTAATGTTTAATCACCCCATTAATATACCTTCTGTAACATGGTATCAAGGTTGTATGTTTGATAAGAAATCTTTCATGCGCTAATATGTCAGCTGATTGATCTATTGATTAGGGAAGCAGAACAAAGTCTGACGTACATTATCTCAGACCAGAATAAATGTATCCAATGTTGTCAAGGAACTTAACATTGTTTTCTCTTCGATCTTAATTTAGCCACCATAATATGTGCATGGTGCCACCTGGTGAAGAAACTATTTTTCCCCTTATTTCACCTTAACATATCTGTGTTTCCACACTATTTCAGGTCGCCTTCTGGTCAGTAGAAAATATTACGTTATTTGTTTCCTAATAAACCAAATTCAAACATAGACCAAATACAAAACGGCAAAAGTGGTACAAAATGTGAACTTCATAATTTGCCAATTTCCTTGCTTTAAAATCCATCTCTACTATCCATGTTGCTGCTTGAGATTAATGAAAAAACTTTCCTGTTGAACTTGTGTCACAGAGTTAGGACACTTGATCCCAATTTCTTACAGATAGCCTGAGATTGGGTTTCTGCATGATATTCAGCTACTACAAAGAGACCCTTCCTCAAAATTATCCTGGATGTTCATGAATTGATACATTCAGCAGTCAAATAAGCCATCTCTGCTCCTGTTCAGTAATTTAAAAACCAGAGATCTATATCTTTTAAAATTTTTATTTTTTTTATTTAGATCGTCAAGGTAGAACTGTTTTGAGAACATTTATCAAAGATATTACATGTACTTACAAAAACTTAAGTGGTATAAATATTTAATTGGTTAAGGTTCCCACCTGCTTATGTACAAGACAATGGTGTATTATTGACATTAATATTTCATTCTTTGTAGTCGTGGTTTTATTTGCTCTAGAACAACATTCAGTTGTACATTTACTATTCAGGCAATGTGTATAAGCAGCTACTTATGGCCTTACTGCTAAGTAATGAGGTCATTACTTCGAAGTATAGAATCGTTGCATCCCTACCTTGGGCTTAAGCCATTGATTTTTCTGACCAAAATTAACACAATTATTCCAAAGTATTTTGCTACTGATGACCACATGCTAATAAAGATGAACTGCTCAGGATTTGTAAAATCCTTATGTTGATCATGTGATTGACAAAAAAGGTAGGATATGAATCTAGCGGCAATTACATACTAACTGGCTTTAAACTGATCTGAATCATTTTATTTTTTTTTGTTTTCCAAGAGGCACACAAAGTGTGTACATGTATATAAATGATATACCTTTTGTTAGGTGAGAACAACAGTAACTATGTGTTACAGGAAAACCTGCTTTAATACATACTATACATCCATAACATGTTAGCAGTTATCAATAGTGGTGATAATATTGCTAGGCAGGTCTTCTTAACAAAAAATCAATGACTTAGTCATACTGTGATGAAGGTATAGGTAGGAATATCATACAAGTCTACCTGAGAAAGGCACATCAGCATACATTTATATATATGTCCACAAATATGCACAATAAGGAAATTATTGTAGGATCTTTTATTTTAGTTTAAATCTGTATACCTACACTTAGCTCTCTTTGTTGCATTTGTTGCAGATTTAAGCATTAGTTAATTGTTGTTTTTCCATGCTCATCTCTATAGAGTATTATCAGACTTTATGATATGACCATTTTTGTATGGCCTTTGAGCTGATATCAGGCCTCAGGCTAATAATTGGCACATCAAATTTCATAATATGTCTTTTATTTTCAGCAATAGTTTCAGTTTTCAAGTTTTATTTGAAATAACAAAACAGTAATTCAGTTTTCTGTAATGTTACTCAGTACTTTTATTGATATTACAGTACAGTGTACACATTCACAGCAAACGTGTCAGACTAGATTATGTTATGCAATTGTTTGAAATATGGACCACTGACAAAATTGTTTTACATAAGGTCTACTGATACAATTGTTTGATACAGGGTCTACTGACACAATTGTTTGATATAGGGTCTACTGACACAATGTGTTTGATATAGGGTCTACTGACACAATTGTTTGATATAGGGTCTACTGATACAATTGTTTGATATAGGGTCTACAGACACTATTGTTTGATCTAGGGACTACTGACACAATTGTTTGATATAGGGTCTACTGACACAATGTGTTTGATATAGGGTCTACTGACACAATTGTTTGATATAGGGTCTACTGATACAATTGTTTGATATAGGGTCTACAGACACTATTGTTTGATCTAGGGACTACTGACACAATTGTTTGATATAGGGTCTACAGACACTATTGTTTGATATAGGGTCTACTGATACAATTGTTTGATATAGGGTCTACTGACACTATTGTTTGATATAGGGTCTACTGACACAATTGTTTGATATAGGGTCTACTGACATAATTGTTTGATATAGGGTCTACAGACACTATTGTTTGATATAGGGTCTACTGATACAATTGTTTGATATAGGGTCTACAGACACTATTGTTTGATATAGGGTCTACTGACACAATTGTTTGATATAGGGTCTACTGACATAATTGTTTGGTATAGGGTCTACAGACACTATTGTTTGATATAGGGTCTGCTGATACAATTGTTTGATATAGGGTCTACAGACACTATTGTTTGATATAGGGTCTACAGACACTATTGTTTGATATAGGGTCTACAGACACTATTGTTTGATATAGGGTCTACAGACACTATTGTTTGATATAGGGTCTACTGATACAATTGTTTGATATAGGGTCTACAGACACTATTGTTTGATATAGGGTCTACTGATACAATTGTTTGATATAGGGTCTACTGATACAATTGTTTGATATAGGGTCTACTGATACAATTGTTTGATATAGGGTCTACAGGATCTACAGACACTATTGTTTGATATAGGGTCTACTGACATAATTGTTTGATAT